CTTGTCATGAGAGGCTCCTTTTCCGGCGTCACAGCAGGGAGGGAGTCGTCATTAGAAAATCAGAGCTGCAGGCTTGGCTGAGCGTGAAGAAACACCGCCGCCATTGCTGCCGTCGCCTCTTCTGCTCTCCTACCGCTGCGCCTTCTCCTTCTTTATCGTCTTCATTTTCTCCTTCTCCTTCTTCTTCTTCTCCTTCATCGTCTTCTTTCTGTTTTTTCCTCTTCTTTTTATTTTTTGATCCTTTTCACCTTGGCTCACACGTGCAGACCAGACGGTCGCACAAAAACAATAGACCTATGTGTGTGTTTTTGCTAAATATAACCACGACCTCTCGCTGTGCGTCCAAAAAGAAGCAAAAACACTCACAAATGATATTTCTATCATATGTAAAATGTTATAAAGTCAAATATCAAAGTCCTTTAACACTTTTTTGGCTGCAGACGTATTTTTCCTCAGTGAATGGGAAACATTAGGTTTAAAATAGACTGGAGTATTGGATTCATAGATCTGAGGACAGGTGGTTTGAACTGAGGAAAATAACACCTTCTCTAAAGGAAAGAAGGAGAGAAGAGAGAGAATATCTGCGTCGTGTGTGTGGTTGTAATAAGTCAAAGAGCAGAAATCAGACAAATGTGACTGAAATATTTTAGTTCAACAGTGAAATGGTGTGAGGTTCATATGGCAGGAAATGATAGAAAAAATATAGAAATGTATCAATACAATCATCTGATAAATTCAATATGAAAAATGCAAATTAGTAAATGAAACCATTACAGTGACAATACTAATTAAATGCATTAAATAAACATTCATGATTGCGTTTATTTAAATATTCAATAAAAATATTTTTTGGTAAAATAGACACATTTTTCATGATGCAGTGTAATTTTTGGAATTATTAATTTGGATGCTTATCAATTTTTTTTTTTAATTTGAAATTTAATTTTTTAAACTCAATAATATAATGTTAAAAAATAATAAACATTTTCAAAACATGCAAATTAGCAATATTTAGATTTGGTTTCCTATTGTACATGAATATTCATATCCATGCCCACATATTTAAATGAATGCTGAATTTATATGACTGTTAATGTCGCTGCTGACGTTGAAGCTGCAGGGGAACAACATTAGTGAGTGAAATAATCAGTGTGTTTCCTGTTCGTTTGCTTGTCCAATACGTGAGAATATAAACGTAATCGTTGATTTTAAATGTATTTTCAGCCTTGATTTTCATTTGTGTCAACAAGGAGAATTTGGGCTAAAATAATGTCAAAATAACGTCTATGAATATTCAATTATTAGATTTAAATTATTGCTGACTTTACATGAGTGTAATTATCACCTAAGAGGTTTTAGCTGCAGGGAAACAAGCTCATTACTGAGTCCGATAATGAGTGTGTGAGGTGTTCGTCTGAATTATAATCTCTAATCTGTATGGTAATGTTGAGTGACGGCTGCACATTCATGCTGTCTCTCCTAAAGCCCACCATCTTTAATTTCTGCTCTGTAAAGCAGAGCTGAACGTAAACGCTTCATCTTGAAATAATTAGAAGAGAGTCGAACTCAGGGGCCGTGAACTCAGCACTGCAGAGCTCATTAGATCCTAATTCAATAATCTGTTTATGAGGTGAACCAGGAGAAACAGCAGTTAAAGGAGACGCAGCGTCTCAGGGCCTCCTCTTTGGAGCTCATCTGTGCAGAACCTCCTTCACTTTCTCTCCAAATTAAAACTAAAGCCAAGGTGAGATCTCCGAGCCTGCCTTTGTGCTGAAACGACAAACACAATCTGCTTCAGTACAAAGGAGGCTTCAATTCGGCAAATGTGGGAGGATTCCACGCTACATTCACTCTCATTTTTCAGGAAAACTAAGAATCAAATCAGTGTAAAAACACTCCCAGTGGCTCTGTCACGTCAGTTAGCATTGATGGACACATTTTAACTACCAAATGTAGGTCAGAACTTAGGTTTAATCACACTGACACTCACACTCCACAGATGTACGATCAGCTGCAGCTCAGTCCACTGTGTATGACTGACACACACACGTCTCCTGAGTTGGCATTGAAGTGGAGAATATTCAGCACATGTGAAACTGCGTTAACACCAAATGTAGTTCACAATACGTGGTGAAATCCCTTTAACGCTGAGCCTCATTCAGTTCCTGTGGAAACTGAAGAATAAAGTGAAGGTCAGGTCTATTTCTCCAGCTTAGTTAATGTGACATGTATTACCTCGTTTGATTTCATCCTACAATGGAGACTAGATTTGCATTTGGTGAATATTTGAAACGTGAAATGTTGGTCACACTTCAGGTTAAAATACGTCGGTGCTGAACTTTCTTCCCTTTTCTTTAGAAAGAATGACTAAAGTCAGGGTTGGGGGTTTTCTGTCGCCTTTTTCTGTGTGGATTAAGAACATCGTCTGAGCTTTGGTGAAGTGAAGGTTTGATCTGCTCACGTGGACGTGTTTAATCAGTGACAGACACTGAAATCTGTATCAGAGTTTCTTCAAGAAAATAAGGAATAAGTCAAGGGTTCAACATTAATGTGTGTGTGTGTGTGTGTGTGTGTGTGTGTGTGAGTTGAACACCTCACTCATCCAGTGGTAGTGTAGATATTCTGTCTATTTCAATCAATTCTGTTTCCTTACAACAAATGTCACTCACTTTGTCAGTGAATAATGAAACGGTGTTTCTTCCTGTTACTGTTTGTGTCGTCACTGATCTGAAGAATAAATCAACTTAAGGTGGAAACATTTACAAACCTAAACTAATTCACTCTTCATTAAATTCAGTGAATTAAACATAATCATTTAGTGATTATATTATTCTTTAACATTTATTGTGGCTCGGACTTTGTGTTGAATTGCCACTAATTTTAAGAAAATAAAAATAAAATGTAAGGCTTTTTTTTTTTTACCACGGTGTGTATGTTAGTTCTATGACCTGATTCGTAGTAATGTGGACACACACACACACACACACACACCCCCATATTTCATCACTAAAGAATGAGTTACAGTCCACAGGATACACAGTGACTGTAGCAGAGCTAACATGGAGACATGCTAACAGTCTGAACCTCATTCACTGTTCCACCGATTTCCCCCGCCACAACACTGACACGCCTTTTTGTACTTATGTCGATGTGGGAAATTATTCAACAGTTGTAATTTGAAATGAAGAAATAGAAATTTGAACAAAAATACTAAAAACAAAGTACAACCTAAGGAGAAATGGGGAAAATTTGAAAAAAAAAAAATCCAGAAATGTTATTATTTATATCTTTTCATAAAGAAAAATGATAACGTTTCAGAATTAGATTTAAACATCAGTTCTTCACAACTGCTTTCCACAGATAATTTCATAATCTAAAAAAAAGTTGTAACGTCTGCCTCAGTCTAATATTTTTCAGCCACCAATGTGCAGATGTTTTGATAAAAATGTGTTTATTTACAGGGTACTTTTGATCAAACCTGATTTATGTCCAGTTTTTCTGTTACCTTTTACTCTTTATTAATCAAACACATGGGGATTTTTTTTATGTGTTAAAATAATCATAGAGTTTCATGTGAAATGACATCAAATGTAGAACAAATGTACAAGAGCATTTGTAGAAAAAAAATAGTCAAGATATTTAAGACAGCTCACCTGGTCATACATCAGTCAATACACACACACACACACACACACACACACACACACACACGCACACACACACTCACAGGACGTGTCACAGAACCTAGAAGTTCAATCTAAATGCCATAAAAGACGAACAGTCTGAAAAATAATCCAGTGTGAAGAAACAGGGATTATCTGCTAATCTGACTGTGATGGAGGATCTGGGTGTGTGTGAGAGAGAGAGAGAGAGAGAGAGAGAGAGAGAGAAAGCTTCTTCTGTCCCAAATAACAAAACCAAAAAATAGCGTCAAGTTTCCGTTAAGAACGTGTAAAAGCTCAGTTAAAGCAGTCGGACAAATGACGTCAATGTTGAACAGTTAGAAACTGATTAAACAGAGTCAGACTGTGACTGCATCACTTCACCAACATGTAAAAATACAAGAAAGGCTTTATTTATTATTGATTTAGTTTAAAAATGCAATGTTATGATAATGTCAATATAAAAAATGCAAATAAATAATACAATATAAATAAACTCAATGCAACTATTTTATTTTTTCTCTCAATTTTGTTATTAATGTTCAAATCTTCAGGTCAGATAAATAAAAATAATTAGTGTTAAAAACTAGAAGTATCTTAGTTATTTCAAAAACCTTTCTGTTTAAATAAAAATGAGTTCCATTTAAATACGTTCACTGCCTTCAGATCCTGTTGGTGAAACCATGAGTTAAAGTGGTTCAGATCATCGTCAGTCCACTTGTTGGACTTCATTTAAATCTGTTCCAGTGCATGAGTTTATGTTTTTGTTTTTTAATTCATTCAGATTATCAGAAACTTTTTAGCTTTAATTCATATTAAATGTATGAGATAAGATTCAAATTTTATTAAATTCTAGTCGCGTTTCTGCATTGATAATTTATCAATTCATGAAAAAAGATGACGTTCAAATAACCTGATAGTTTAAATTTAAATTGAAGATGGATAATTTATTAACGTGTGTGTCATTTGTCAAATTCACATTTTTGATTTTGTTATTATAAAAATAAAGCAGAATGGCTTTGTTTATTTATTTATGTATTTATTTACTTTTTTTTTTTACAGTCATTAAAACCAAACCTTTTGCTTTTTGTTGTCATTTTGTTTTGAAAGGACAGAGAGAAGGAGTGACGTCACCTGCTTTTTGTTTGGTTTTATTTCAGACTCTAACACGAGGACACGTATGAAAATCTTTGGCTTGTCTGAGTCTGTGACGATGCGTTCAATGACCACAGGAAAAAACCACAGGCAGCTGAAATGAAAACGTATCAGGTACAACATGATAACTGTGTGTGTGTGTGTGTGTGTGTGTGTGTGTGTGTGTGTGGTTGGATTATATATAAACTTTAATATAGAATAATAATAATAATAATTATGTCCATATACTGTTAGCATCAACGTGAATCTGAGTTTCCTTTTTTTTTTTTACTTTTAAATAAGCGTCTCCTCCTCCTCCTCCTCCTCGTAGTCCTGCTCCTCCTCAGTTTTTCATTGTCTTTCTTATAGTTCCATGAGACAGGGAGTCAAATGTCCTACTCGCTGTCCTCCTTGTCCTCCTGCACCGTGGTGGTGGAGTGGTTGTACAGTCCTTGGGCCATCAGGTGTAGAGCCAGCCCGTTCTTGTAGCCGGTGGCCTTTTTGATCTTGGCCCGTTTGTTCTGGAACCAGATCTTGATCTGGGACTCGTTGAGGTTCAGTTCCTGGGCCAGCGATTGCCGCCGCTGCTCCGTGATGTAGCGACTGGCCTGGAACTCATTTTTCAGTCTCTGCAGCTGCTCAGCAGTGAAGGCCGTCCTGGGCCGCTTGTCCTCCTTGCTGCTCTTCTTCTTCTTCAGTTTCCTGGTCCTGGGGCCTGGCGTGGAAACAACAATGGAAAACAAAACAAATATTTATTCTACAGCTGGAGTTTGGTTTCCATTGCAGAGCTGCTGCTGCAGCCGCTGCTGCTGCTGCAAAACACAGCTGATGTTCACGCTTCAGCATCATCTGGTTTATATGATCAAATGTAGGTCAACACCACAGGTCTAAGTTCTCTCTTTCCAGACAATAAAAAACACTGTAGAATTACAGATCAGGGACCAAAAAAAAAATCATTTTTTAAAAATCAACGATGTTTAGTCAGAGCCAGACAATACACAAAAAAGTCAGGTTTAAAACCAAAAATTGTCTAAATTTCTGGAGAGGTGAAAAAATCATTTAATATCATCATTCATTTAATAAGATAACAGATGGAGGATCTGTGAATTCTGAAAACGTTGCCTCTAAGTAGTAAAGAAGCCAAATATTGTCAAAAGACTGACAGAATTAAAAAAAAGGCAAAACTATGAGAAGGTTTGGCCCAAAAATACCCTCAAGGTGGCAGAAGAAATGCAGCAAAAAAAAAAAAAAAAAACTACAGTAGATTTAAATCAGCACATATTTACTCACATATTTGTTAGACAGACATCAACCAATAATAAAATAGATCATGTTCACCAGAAATATAGTCAACTATATAGAAAAAATACCAATAACAAATAACCAAAAATGATCCCATCATAGTGGAGGGTTAGCAAAAAATCTGGAGGTGCTAAAAAGTAAAAGCTTAAAAAAAATTAGCAATGACAAAAAGACCCAGGAGTCGACTTCAAAGAGCCACAGAAAATGAGTCTACACCAGATTTAAACGTGACTTTAGCGTTTGAAATTTGTTACTCAAAATTACCCCATGGACACAAACTGCCCACAGGAGGCAGCACTGACGCAGCAGCTCATGGATCTCTCAGCTAAAATCACCCATCATTTTCTCTGTGGACTTTGGTGTGGGAGCGTGAGCCAAATACAAACTCTAACGTCCAAATAAAGCTATATTTTTGTCACTTTTTATTAGGTGAGTGTTTTGTAAATATGTGCACATCCTACTCTACAGAATTCCATTGAAAAAATCTGTGGTTTTACCTCAGAACGACAGTAGCCACTGATCTGCTGCTGCCTCATGTGGTCTTTTCATAACACTTTTTAAAAATATATGAATATTATTTTTTAAATATAAATAAATTTGTATTTAAAAATACATCAGCATTTTTGAAAAACATGCTCACATGACCGAGGCAGCAGTCAAACCAATACTGCTCAGTGCTGTGAAGTAGAATTGTTCAGTTTCTCTATGGACTTCAGAATGGGGCAGAGAAGGGTTTTAAAAATGTCACATTTTTTGTTGGAAAAAACTGGCAAACGGTGAAATAAAGCACTACATATTATTTTGTGATATTGTAGACTTATATTGATATATATTTGATTTGCCAAGCTTTCATCAAGTGGTTTAGATCAGTTTTATTTTTGATGTTTGGTAAGCCTCAGTGCCTCAGGCTGATTCCTGGCCTCAGCGCTGACTTTTAGTCACGTCTCCATTGAACCACAGTTTCAAAAAAAAAAAAAAAAAAAAAAAAGCTGAAATATCTTTTTAACCCAAGAATTCACTAAAAAAAAAAAAAACGTCAGAGTTTCCAAAAATACTCGGTGGAGTGAGACTAAAAAAGTGTAAAATCCACAGCTGGGATCTGCACATCTTTAGATCCTGGTGGAACGTGTTCCACGTTTGAGAGACAAACTCAGGAGAAAAGCTGTGGGAGAACAACGGAGGAATTAAAGACGGAAAAATGTGGAGATAAAAGCGTTTGTAAGCACGCTGGAGGACAGATGTCCACACTATTATTACGCAAGTGAAGTGTTAATGTTGAACACAGATTTTTCTCACTAATGCTAACAGGAGAGAAAAACCAAAGTCCAAATCAACTGTTAAAGGAGGAGAAATAGTCAATATTTAACTTAGTATATTGATAATCTGTTGACTGAGGAAAAACACTGACTGATCCTGTTTCCTCGGAAACATGACAAAGGTTTGTGACTGAAAAATGTATAGGTTTTAGAATTTTAGAAAAAGCCAGCCATTACATTAGCTTCACAGAAACACGGCTAATGTTGACATAAAATATGTAAACAATTTTTTCAAAAGGTCTGACGTGACATACGTTTACGGTTGTACAATAAACACAACAGGTGTTGCAAAAATAATAGGAGTTTAGTATTTATATATATTACAGAAATGAACTGACGTTACCAAAATATTTATGTATAAAAGGAGACCAACGGCCCACCAGTCATGTCACAAAGTTAACAATGATAATAATATATGACATGAAACAGGAAATGACAAGTCAAACAGTCAAACGACAAAAATGCTAATATTATAAGAGGAAATGAATTGAGGAAAAACGCTGACGAACAAATGTTCTAACTTTATATTTGTTTGGTTTTCTTTGTTGTTGTCACGCAGACAAAAATGTTATGACGTCATTGAACTGTTTTAAATCTGAAACAGAACTGTGACGTATGTGAAAATTTAGCAAAATGCTAATGTGAGAGTGTGTTTGTGTGTTTGTGTGTGTGTGTGAGAGGAGAAACACACACCTTAGTCTTCACTCTCTCTCATAACAAGCTAAATGGAACGTGTCCAACAGCCTCGTTTCATCGTCACATGATTATAATGATGATGATAATCATATCTGGCTGCCACGCACACACACACACACACACACACACACACCGCTAGGTCAAGACGCAAACCCCAAACACTGTGTTCTCCGTACACTGCTGTGTACCATGAACGCAACACGACCTTCGCCAATAATCGTATGAAATGCAGTCATAAAAAATAAAATAATGAATTAAACACGAGTCTGACTAATTCTGGACCAGTCAACAAATTTTGTTTTTAAATTTGACTCTGACTTATAATATATTGAAGAAATATTTGACAATAGTTTGTTCAAATGAATCCCGTCGTGAGGAACATGACGGACTCGCTTCATCACATTTTCCCCTAAATAATAATATGGCTTTTTTTTTTAATTACGTGATATTCGTATTTATATTGTTTGAGTTTTTTATATGAAGACACTGTTGCTGTTGATAAACATTCTCTACGTCTCGTACTGTTTCTGTTTTTAGTCATTCGTTCTTAAAACGCTGAAATCCTGCGGAAGTTCCCGTTATACATTTTTATTTATTCTTCTCTTTATATTTATATTTCTTTGTTCATGTTTTTGGTTTAACATTTTTCCGTATGTTATCTTTTATCTTGGACTAGAGTCACCGACACTAACGGTCTCCTATCGCCGTGCTATGGTTTTATTTACCAGATCATTTGTCTAATAAAAATGAAAGTCCTCAGTGTCTGGAGTTAAACTTTAAAATATTAACTCGTCTTTTGTGATCCTTCACATTACGGTTCTGAAATTATAAATCGAATGTTTTGTAAATTATGAATTAAATTCCTCCACCAGACTGAATATAAACAAAGTAAAAAACATGTGACGTTGTTGTTGTTGTTGTTGTTGTTTTTTGTTTGTTATTTTATCAGCTATCATTTATTATTTACATCCAACATCGTTAACGAGACACATGAGGAGAACAGTGTTTAGAAACACTGACGATGACGATGATGTAGAAAAACCACAGACCATAATAATCATCGGCTGCTGCGGAATGAATGACGTGATGATGTGTTCACTGACCGCTCGTCTTACAACATCCTCTCAGCTTTAACTTCGTGTGTTTGTTGTTTTAGTTTGTGAAGACGTTGTCGTTCATGATTCACCGAAGGATTTGGGTTTTTATTTTCCACGTTGTGTATTTAGGTATTTAATAGAAATGTTCTTCTTAAGATTCCGTTTTTTGTTTATTATTGATATTATTCTCAAATTCAAGTAAAACCGGGTCTGTTTTAGCCGTTATTATAATAATGTATTTTACTGAGACTAACTATATATTTTAATGTCCGTGTGGAAGACATTTCTTCAACACAAAGTCTAAACTAATCTAATCTAAACTAAACCAAATAAAAAGTGACATAAAAACAAACAAAACAAAAATGAAACTAAATTTTAAAAAATGCTGTTTTTGAGTTTTTCAAATGAAAACATGTTCCGTTTATTTACCGTCTCACTGTCAAACACAGTCTGGTCTGTTTTACCGCCTCTTCTTTACACGTGTGAAACTGATCTTTAAGATAATGTTAGTAATTTTATGTATTTTTAAAAACAAAATGTTTCGTATTTGATTCGGCTTTGATTTCCGTCGTTGGTCACGTGTTCTCTGTTGTCACACTTTTAAACGTTCACTTGTAAATGTTTTAAACCAGTGTTGACGTGAAATATTTCTCTTCATGACTTTAAAATGTGTGACATTTAAATTATGTTTTATATTAGATTTGTAAATACATTTCTTATTTTAAAAAAACCTTAAACCACCGAGGCTGATAAAGTGAAGAATTATGTTTTTTTTTTAAAAATATTAAATGGAATTGTTTCAGTGAAATCAGTAAATGGTGATTCTCTACGTAGTTTTACAATAACGTCCCGTGTTTGATTTTACTGGTGTTTTTTTTCTTGATGACCATATTTACCAGTTGTATGAAACAACTGACACAAATACGAATTATGAAATAAGTCCAGCAACAAAATCCTGTTTTTGTTTCTTCATTATATTTTTCCTTGGTAAACAACGAGCCTACAGTAGTAATGTCAACAGTAAAAGCTGTTTGCTATCGAATACATGTTTGTAGTAGTAATACTTGTGATGAATGGTTGTTATTTTTCTCTGTTCGCTCTCAGACAGAGAAAGTCAGGGCCGAGGTCCTGTGAACCTGTCAGCCGTGGTCCTGGACTCGGGGGCCGTGTGGTCAACACTGTGGTGCAGTCTTACCAGATGAAGGCCGGTCAGAGTAGCGGGTACAGTAAACCCAGGCGGGCCACAGCAGCGGCTGGCTCTCCTTCCCCTCCGCCGACGAACCTCCTTTGCCGCCTGCTCCGTCTCCACCTCCACCGCTTCGTGCGCCTCCGCCGTTGGCGCCGCCGCCGCCGCGGCCCCGCCCGCCCC